GGCACAAAGAAAGCTGGTACTTTAGGTACATTTCTTTTATTAAAATCATTTTTAAGTCTCTGTAAATAAGCCCAGAAATAAGATTTTAGGAGAGCCTTAATGATGTTGGAGAATTACTGAAAGATGAGAAGTGAGTTTGCTTAGAATAGTGGAAAGAGAATGAGATATTTAAATGATATGTTCCTACAAATGGCGATTAACTAAAAACTTAATTAGGTACAAAGTGTAATTTAGATCCCTGATAAAACTGATAAGAGGTAGAGACCTTAACCAGGTAGATGAAGACCACATATCTAAGTTAGGAGGAAGGAAGGCAGACTCAGAGGATTTGGCATGGATATAGGAAAAATCAGTTTTTATTAGCTCTATTGTAATAAGAAGTGTATTTTTCAAATACTGGGCTCCTCCGTTATCTATTTTGCAGTGAGGAATAAAACAAATTCTGGAGTCTTCCTTATTAGTTATTTTAATCTGAAACTTTAATTTCTATCTTATTTCTTATTTTGATAGCCATATTCTATATGAAAAGTATCTTGTCAACGCTCAGACTTGTTTACAGAATAACTGTTACTTAGCAGGTCAGCTCTTCTTCATGTGCAGCTGTGTTTAGATTCACATCTTACAGAGAGTCATCTGGCTGTTAAAGCTGAGGGGATGCTTTCGTATGCTGGCGGTGGCAACTGGAAGTGGTACAGTTCCTATGGAAACATAGCAATGTGGTGATTCCACAAACACTGGTACCAGAGTTGTCTGAGATCCATCTCTTCCACTTCTATAGCTACAGCATCCACAAAGGACAAAAGGTGGAAGTAACAGAAATGCCCACCTGCTGATGAACGGATAATCAAAATATGGAATATAGGTGTAACTTAATAGCACTTATTCTTTTTAGAGTAGTAGAATGAGGAGAGTCTGAATGAAGTAGAGAGCTTATATGGCAGTCACTTTTAGCATAGAAAATATACAATTAGCACGATAGGTGGATTACAACTAAGTCCTGAGGACATTCTCCTGAGCTAAACTACACAGTCATCAACAACCAAGTGCCTTATGATTTTATTTATTAGTCATCTATAATAGTCAAACATATAAAAATAGAAAGTAAAATAGTGGTTTCTTAGGGGTAGGAAGGAAAAAGACAGTTACTGCTTTAGTGGAAAGTTAGGAAAAAATCTAGAGACTAATTCCATAAGTATTTAAAGTTTGCACTTTAAATTATTTAGCTGGTAAGTTTTGCTCTGTATGCTTTGTAATTTTAACTAGAAGAGGTAAAATTAAAAGGCAATACATAGGAACACGAGGATTTGTTCTACCTTATGAACAATGATTCAAATGCTATATTGCTCTGGGTTTTTTTTTTTTCTTTTAAATTAAAAATACTGCATTGGGGTAGAAAGAGGGCTCAATGGTTAAGAGCATTTAATCCTGAGAATTAGAGTTCAGATCCAAGTACATAAGTCAAGTGACTTACAAACATTGTATTTCCAACCACAAGACTCTGATGATCTCTTCTGGCCTTCATGAATACCCAAACACACATGTGCATACACTCACACAAACACACCAAAAACACAAGCACACACATAAATAAATAAAATCTTTTTTAAAACTGCCATGTGTTACAGTTTGGTAGAATTAAAATGCTTTTTATTCTGCCCTGGACTGACAGCTACACCACTAAGAGCATGGCTGCTCTTCCAGGTGACGTGAGTCATCCATATAGTAGCTCACAACCATCTGTGACTCCACTTCCAAGGAACACCCTCTTCAGGCTCCTGTGGGCACTTTCCCCTTACAGCTGTTCTCTTTTTTGAGGCAAGAATTTCAGCATTAGAATAAATTAAGCAAAATACATGACTTCAATGAAATGAAAAGTTCATACCGTAGGTTAATTTAAACAGAACAATTATAAGCTGAGAGTTATGCTAAGATTTCTTCATTTTTATATACAAGCTCAGGGAATATTATAAATGCAAATGTGAATTATATGAGAAATATTTGTAATTGCAGACAAAACTCATTTCTAAATAGCTCTTGAGAATGTCCTGTGAAACAGGAAAATAGTGCTTAAATAGTTTCATTGTATGGTGTGTGCAGTACCTAATCAATAATTGAAGTAAGTAATGAATACATAAGTTATAATGAGTACACAAGTCATATTTGTAATACCTGAGCTGAAATAAATTACATTATAGACATGCTACATAATTTATAAAATCAGTTTTTACGCTCTTCTCAAAATGCCAAATCTACCACAATGTGGTAGCAATTTACCACATTCCCTTTTGCAACACCCATTGTACAATTATCTACTCTGTCTCAGTTAGCTTTCTATTGCTGTGATGAAAGGCCATAATCGGAACTAACTCAGGGTGGAAAAGGTTTCTTTCACCTTACAGTTTATGGTTCATTGTGGAAGGGAGTCAGGGCCAGCTGGGCTATATGAAAGCTTGTTTCAACAACTGACGTGAGGCTAGTTACAACCATGAGAAAGTAGTCATCTCTTCCTCTAGAGTTCTCTGAGCCTTAGTACAAACTCCAAGTGTTTGAAAATTGCCAGTGTTTAGTGCAGCCTGCTGTTGAGCAGCATACAGGACTCTAGGTAGGGCGTTATGGAGAATCTGAGATTTGTAGATTTACAAGTTATCTTCCCATTGTTTGGTGAATTCAGGCAAAAGTCGTGCCATCCCAAGGACCAGAGACAATGGATTTTAATCACACATAGCAAGCACTATTAGTAAAGGAAGACTGTCTTGGTCCTCCCATTCCCCAAATTACATGGGAATGATAGAGGTGTGTGTAGTTGGATTCCTACACAAGCAGTTTTTGCATTAGTTTATTGTTGTTGTTGTTATCGTGAATTTTGTTACTTGAAAATTTCATAGCTGTATATAATGCATTCTGGTTACTCTCTCCTTTCTATCCTTTCTTATTTCCCTTCCACCATTATCAATTCCTGTCTTACTTTCACAACTTTTTTATTTTGTTTTGTGACCCTGTAAATTGAACCAGGTTCATGTATGTAGCTAAGCATCTTGAACTCCCTACTGGAGCCTAATGATGATACCTCCAGCTAATTTAGCTTTGTTTTGTTTTATTTAGGATTTTTTAGTCACCCTGATCTTTTGTGTTTCCATATTAGGGTTTTTGTTCTGTTTTGTTTTGTTTTGTTTTTCGAACTCTGTGTAGAATCATGCTGTACTTATTAATCCTACCTTTCCATGAGCACGGGAGGCTTTCCACTGAGGTTTTTGTAGAGTTTATCAAGCTTTTCATTCCCAGTATCATTTCAGTTTGGGTTTTCATCAGCAATATTATCACTTTATTGGGTTCTATTTTCATATATTGGATTAATTTTCTTGTTTGTCTCTCTGTTTTGATCTCCTGAAATATAATCATGTCTTCTTTGAGTTTTGTGTGAACGTGCCTCTAATATTTCTTTTGAATTCTTTTCTGGAAATTCTTTCAGGCTGTTTTCATTATATGTCATTATTATTGGATTGTTCATTTTTTGGAGGTCTTGGCTTTCCATGCTGTCTCTGTCTCTGTCTCTGGAATATTTACTCTGTTTACAGATATGCAGAAAAGACTGAAAGGTAAAAACAAACAAACAAATAAAAGCATGATGCACTCTAAAACATGTTCTATGACTACTAGGCTACACTTGTCAGAAATTTCAGAAATATCCTCCTAGTATCTGTCTTAGTTGGGGTTACTATTGCTGTGATGAAACACCATGAACAAAATCAACTTGTGGAGAAAGAGTTTATTTCACTCACAATTCCATGTAACAATTCATCATCAAAAGCAGTGAGGGCAGAGACTAAAGTAAGGCAGGAATCTGGAGTCAGGAGCTGATGCAGAGGTAATGGAGGTTGCTGGCTTGCTCTCCATGCCTTGCTCAGCCTGCTTTCTTATAGAACCCAAGACTACCAGCCCAGGGGGAGCACCATCATGATGGGCTGGGCTCTCCTCCACTAATCACTAGTTAAGAAAATGCCATATAGGCTTGCCTACAGTCTGATCTTATGGATGCATTTACTCAATCGAGGCTTCCTCCTCTCAGAGGACTTCAGCTTGTGTCAAGTTGACATAAAATGAAACAGTACAGTATCTTGTAACAGCAGTGAATAGAAATATATAAGTACATATCACACAGGAAGTCATCAAATGTACCCATTTTTTCTTTTAAAAACCTGAAAGACTAATACAGTTTTAAAGCAAATAGAAAATATCTTATCATATAAATAGGGGTTTTCAATTTTATTTTGTTCCCAACGTTTGCTTGTAATTTAGGAACATGTCCAATTTTAAGACGTGCAAATGATTTCCAAATCTTAGTTAGCAACATTCAGGATAAAGGTTTCAAGATAAAGATTTCTTTTGCCTTCCTTTTCCCCATCTATTTCAACACCAAGTGAGTCACATTTCCAGTTTAAATTGGAAGCCAGGACTGTATTTAATTCATGTTTTTCTAGTACATTGCAGGTTGGAAGCTGGGTGGTCTTATTGAGTTGACTGATATTTTCCCTTCTTGTTTTATGTGCACCATTACCGGCACAGGAAATATCAGGCAAAATTTTGCTCTAAAAAGTACCCTTGTCAGGAAGAGCCCATATGCCAGGATGTTCATCTGACTTTGCACAGCAGGAACTAGAAATCTGATGCCCATATTGGCAAGAGCTGGCCAGGATTAACATGGTGGCCACTGGCCAACATTAGTTGCATGACTGAGCTTTGGTATATATCACTGCCTTCCACTGAATTCAAAGGGCAACATTTGTAGTTTATGAAGCTTTTGGGGAAATAAAAACACAAAAACCCCTAGGCATCAAATCTTATTAGTATCTTCCTCCAGATGAAGAGAGCAGAAACACAGACTTTGAAAATGTTCCACTTGACTTCCCCATTCACATATGCTCTATGCACACAGCATCCACAACGGATTCTACTGTGACTAACATTTGGCATTCTTCCTGTGTATTTTCTTTCCTTCCTAGAACACTTGAAGGATAAGTTAGAAGATTACATGGCTCGATTTTCCAAAGTGAGAATTGTTCGCACCAAGAAAAGGGAAGGACTCATCCGGACCCGGCTCCTGGGAGCTTCTGTGGCCAAAGGCGAGGTGCTGACCTTCCTGGACTCCCACTGTGAGGTCAATGTGAACTGGCTGCCCCCGCTCCTCAGTAAGTATGCTGTGTCACCATCATTCTCACTGCAGCTTGCTGGACCTGGGAAACTGGGGAACTGGCCCTGTTACCCGAGTGCAAGGTTTCTTGTGTGAAGGTTGCAATCAGCAAAGGCTTGAGTTTAAACTGTATATTATTCACTGTTGAGCACAAATAGCTATAACTGGAAAACTGTATTAAATAGCATTTCAGATGGGAACAACAGCAATCTAACGCAAGGCTAGAAAGATTTCTTTCATCTTGCATCTCTTCTTTCACTGCAGTTACATTTATTGTGTAAACACTAAAGTAAAAATAATTTAAAATCCCCTATTTTTAGCCATATTATAACCAGAATGAGATAAAAATACACATACACGTGTATACACATATACACACTTAAAATGATTATCCTAAGACTGTTAAGAAAGAAAAAATACATTTTGCCCCAAAATATAAGAATCTAAGTGATTTGCCATTTTTTAAGGTGGATAATGCCATCCATCGTGTTTTTTGTATTTATTTCCACTCCTCCTCCGCCCTTAAATGTATAATCCTCCAGAAGCACATTGAACCATTGAGCTGTTGTTCAGGTCATGACGTGTCTTAAATGCTCACTTATGGCTAAGAGACGAAGGAAGAAAAACACGCATGTGATGTTGCGCTGAACCACTGGAAACATCAACAAACTGAATATCGCTCCAGCTAGAAATTCTAACTGTGGCCCAATGCAAGCCTCCATGCTGTTGTTTCACCAGTTTACAGTGAAGTCAGATCAAAAGCAAAGCAAAACACCCATTGGAGCCTAAGAAACTACATACCTCAAGAACGACTTTCTAGAAAATTCTCACTACATATGTATTGCCCTTTCTTATTCTCTTAGATTTCTCCAAAGTAAGTTTTTACTATAACTGTTACCCTGGCTTCAGAGATAAAGCCTGCGACAAACATCTTCCCAGCACCCACCTCAGAAGGAGTGCTCTGTTATTGACAATCACGTGAAATTTCCCCTTCAACCAGCCAAGCTCCACCCGGAAAAACGGGAGACCGGGTTCAGTGAAAACCATACAGAATGTAAAACACAACACCCACCAACTAACACCCTCTTCCACATCACCCCGTCCATCCACATCCACCTCTACACAGGTGGCTGCCCAGTCTTCTCAATCAACAGGATTCCAGAGCTACAACAGCCAGAGACTCTTTTGAGCCTTTAATTAAAAATGCTTTTTCCAAGGACACTGGCATTTAGAGTTTCATTAGCAACAGCAAGAGTCCCTGAAACTGAATTTGACCTGCATGCTGCTGAATGCTCAAACAAGTCAGCTAAAAGTAAGACTTCCGTATGAACCGAAGCAATTCCTAAGTGTCAATTATCAAATCTCTGATTGTTCACCAGGAGTCACTGGGACAAGAGGGGATAGGAAAATGAGATTAAGAGACACCCACAGCCCGCTCTTTCTCATTAAAGTATTTCATTTACTGTGGGTCTGATGGATAAGAAATGATTCAAATTCTGAATGCTGTCTTTTCCCCCCTCTATCAGTATCTTGATACATCACCCAAAATGAGGAAACTGGCAGAGCCACCTAGCTTCTTGGTTCATTTTTCACCTTGGGGATTATACCTGAATTTCAATTTCCTATTGAGTCTGTTTGTTTGATCCCTGGAAATTGAAATGTAGGCACAAGCCTTGGATGAAAAATTAGTCATGCGGCTCTCACCCGAAGCTAGTACAGCTGGATGAGAGCTGAAAGGAAATTTGAAGGGAACATTGACAGTTAATTTAACAGACTCATTCTCTTTGGATCACCTTGGGACTCCTTGTTGGTCAAGTAACTTGTAAATCAAGCTGGTTCTGAATTTGATGGAAGAAAGTCACTGAAACGATAACACTAAAACCTGCAGAGGTGATCGACGAAATGTTTCTAACCTTACTCTGATAGTCTGCTCCTCTGGGGAAAATGCCACTAAGATAAAACCAAAACTCATAATATAGAATGCCCTGGTGAAACTGGGTGTTCAGAAAGCCCATTATAGAGGTTACCTTGAAATCCTGTATCTGTTATCTATGTATCTAATTAGCTGTCAATAAGATAAATGTAATCTCCAAGCTCTCTGAGGCTCCCTGGAGTCATGGTACCTGAAACTGCCTCCTTTTCCATACTCCAGCATTTGTACCCCCATAGCACTGCTCATTCTGTCTGATTTTTCACCTTGTAAAACACTATGGGATTCAGTTATTTATTATATTTTCTAATTTCTTGCTCTATTCCTGAATATAATGGTGTTTGTCGTATTGTTCTATACAGTAGCCTCAGAACCTAGAAAAATGATTGGTCCATTGTTATTACTCAGTAAATAATTATTGTAACATGCAATAATATGCAAATGAATGAATGAATCAATGAATAAATGAGCATGTGTAACTGCAAAGGGAATACCCTATGGGATTTTTTTTTCTTTCCACACAGTGTTTTATCAATGCGACAAAAATGCCACTTGTTATTATAGCCAATAAAACCTTTTGCTTCCTTCCTTATTCTAAATAAAAACATCTAAAGTAAATGGACAGTTTCCTCACTACAAAAACTGATCTCTCACAGACATTACATTATCTTCAGGATCTCTGAGAGAGAAAAATACACAGAAATAACCAGCTCCCATAATATTTCTAAATGATATCCTTTGTTTAATGTCACATGCCACAACCAAAGGTCTTCCAAATAACAAGAGAGCAGGTGTTCATACTTAAACGTCCTGTCTGTCAGATAGCAGTGTTGTAATGAATTGATTAAATGCAAGTTCTTAAGATACTCCACATATTGCTATTCAACATGCACCAAAATAAACACATCCAGTTTCCCACAGTGCCTGTTAATTCTATTACAATAAAAGTATCTGGGTAGAAAAGCAAGATGCTAAAACCAGAAAGAAAAGAAAAAAAAAATCACCTATCTTCTAGGAAAAGCACCATGACAACCTAAAAAGGCAGGTTGGAACTGAGGAGTTCAGCAGCTGAGTCATCCCTGACAAGTTGACCTCTCTAAGCTCAGTTTCCCTATATGTGTATAGGAATAGTGGGAGTATTAGAAAGAGCATGACTATGAATCATCCTGTAATTGCTCAGGATTTTTACAGAAGCACCATAGCAATAGTGCTTTGTCATTTAATGGTGTTTTTTTTTTAATTTGATGGAAAAAATAAAATGTGTGCAGCATTAATAAGTAGAGCCAGTCTCAAAGAACAGTGGCTCAACAAGCTTTCTTTCAAACTTGACAGCAAAGCATTTTATGTATGATCTTTTGCCATCATGACTGTTTTATGATTAGATGCTATAAAAACCATGATGTTAAATATTTACATTTTGGAACCTTCAGAAAGCAGGCCAGTATTTTCTCAGCAGGCTTTAGCTGTATGCTTGGAGGAACACAAGTACTGTTTATACTCAGTGCATGTTGGAGGCACGTTAAAATGACAGATTGGGGACAGGTCAAAGCAAAAACTGTGACAGAGTAGAGCTAAATGGACTTCTGCAAGTCTCTCTGGGACATAACTTTCTTAAAGGGAAATATAACAACTCTAATTGTACCTAATCACTGTCCCATCATGTTAAGTCCAACGCTCGGAGAGTTCTGCAAAGTGCTCTAATGACGACAGGGAGACGCCAAGGCTGCAAGTGTTATGCATTAAAGGGAACTGTAGGCTGCTCTTTGCTGGAAAATGATAGATGACCTAGGCAGGCATGTCATTTCCTATTTTGTGCTTTCATTTTTCAGACCAAATTGCACTAAACCACAAAACCATCGTGTGCCCCATGATCGATGTCATTGACCACAATCACTTTGGCTACGAGGCACAAGCTGGGGATGCCATGCGAGGAGCCTTCGACTGGGAAATGTACTACAAAAGAATTCCCATCCCTCCCGAGCTCCAGAGGGCTGACCCCAGCGACCCCTTTGAGTGAGTAGCATTTGAGGGAGGGGGGAAGGGAGAGAGAGCAGATGACAGGTGACGTTTCTAGCATGTCAAACTCAGGACCCACGAGAACACTTATCTCTGATGAAATGTAATAAGACAGATGGTAACAATATGCAAAACACCATAGAAAGGTCAGACCTATAAGCTATAGAAGATTAAAATTACATGCTATGCTAAATACACAAATCATCGTCTTAAAGGCTGTGAAGCATAAGGGAAAATATGTGTCCATGAAAAGAATCAGAAGCTCAGATCCTTACAAAACAAACAAAAAATTTCAAGGGACTCCATGTTCCACTTTAGATATTCTCTTCTGATTTTCAGTATCTCTTTATTCTTTCCATTTTCCCAAAAGGACCATTGAAATTAACAGTTTGTTCTTCTTTTATTGAGGATTAGTATGAAGTAGAAACAAGCACTTGAGCCTATATTCTATACCTTGCTTGAAACTGTATTTTTTTATGAAAGCCAGTGCTCCCAAATAGGTACTTCCATGGTTTAAAACTGGAGAGTTCCAATGAAAGAATAAACCAAGGTGATTAATAACACTTCTCCTAATTTAAATACTTATAAGAGATGAACTTACAACCATCCATTGACTACTTTCTACAAAGCTAAGACTGTTGTTGTTGTTGTTGTTCATTGTTGACATGAGAATTGTCCATTTCAAGAAAAAAATAAAGGAAGGCTTGGCTTGACAACTATCAGGGCTACCAATAGTGAGATATGAAATGTTCCCAATAGTTAGTACAAAGATTACCCAGTGTGAGTTACAAGTTTTCCAGTCTATAATCTTTGAGCCACTAAAATCTTTATCATTTTAAAACTCTTGTATTCTTTTAGGCATGTGACAAATATCTGTAATCAGGGCTTTGCTCTCTGTGTAGGAATCCATTGAAGATGCATTAAAATCAATACTGTCTTTGTTATCAATAATAGAAGCCATAAAAATTTGCAATAGGGAAGTTACCAAGTACTAAAACAACTTTGGTTGACACTAACCATTTGAATTCTAATAAACATTTAGTAAATCCCAGGAAAATATTTCCTCTAGTTCAGGTCTCTACAGAGATGAACTCCTAAATAAGTGAAGAGGATTTAAGAAGTCATTCACTAGATAAGACAGGAGAAAAGTCATCTCTCTTGTAAAATGAAACATACTCATTAACTGTGCAGCACTTCTGGACTTAGAATTTCAACCACTCAAATTACTGGAAAGTATTTGAAAAGAAATAATGATAGGTGTTTATTGCTCTCCCATATGCTTTGACCAAAGTTCATGAATATTCAGAACTGCTATACAAATGTATAGGGATCTATTTGAAGGACTTTCTTACAAGCATTCGAAGCAGACCAGGCTGAGAACAGCTTCTCAGATGTCCCTGAAGGTAGCCATTGGAAGGCGTTGTCAAAGGCTCTTAATGTAGGATAAGTAAGTGGTGAGTTGGTACATAGGTTAACAGGCTTGACTTAAGCCCTCTCTCAGATGTGTGCATTTCAAAGCATGTCATAAGCCACAAATACATACAACTTCTATTTATCAGAGTTTCAATATGACAAATAACAAGTATGATGGAAATGAAAAGTTAAAAACTGAATTTTCTTTTAAAGAGTGGAAGAGAGGCTATGTCTTGGGGTTTCTATTTTTGTGATGAAACATCTTGAACTAAAGCAACTTGGGGAGAAAAGGGATTTACTTCATCTTACAGCTCTTAGTCCAGCGTGGAGGAAACCAGGGCAGGAACCTGGAGACAGGAAGTGATGCAGAGTTCATGGAAGAGTGCACCTGGGCTGGGTAATTTTATATCAGGTTGACACGGGCTATGGACGTCTGAGAGTGGGAACCTCATCTGAGTGGGAACCTCAGTTGAGAAGATGACGCCATGAAGCCAGGCTGTCGAAGAGCTTTGGAGCATTTTTTAAATTGGCGACGGACGTGGTGGGTAGTGCCATCATGGGCCAGTCATCCTGACTGTGGGTTTAATAACAAGGCAGGCAGAGCGAGCCATAGGGAGCGAGCCTGCTCGGAGCACTCTTATGTGATCCCCGCTTTAGCTTCTGCCTCCAGGTTCCTGCTGTTTGCGCGCCTGCCGTGACTTCCTGGTCAACAGCAATGTGGAAGTGTACGCCAAATAAACCCTTCTCTGCCCAGTTTGTTTTGAATCATGGTGTTTCATCACAGCAACAGATACTCTAAGACAGCTGCTTACTGATTCACTCCCCACACTTGAGCCTGCTTTTTTATACCACGGCCTGCCCACGAGTGACACCATACGCAGGGGCTGGGCCCTCTCACATCAGTCAGTAATCAAGAAAATGCCCTACCGAGTTATCTACAAGCCAATCCTATAGAAGAACTTTCTTGATTGAGATTCCTTCTTCCCAGATGACCTTACATGGAATCAAGTTTCCATAAAAACTAGCCAAGCTAAGATATGCATACAGAGGAGTCCGAAACCCCACAGAACTGTTCTTGGATGGCAGCTGTCAGGAGACATTTCACAGTGCAGTTGTGCTATCGAGGTCACCGTGTCTGAAGGGCTGGAATTTATCCCTGTAATGGCATTCCAAATACTGCAATAGTGACTCATTCTATTGACCTTTTACATCACTTCCTCCATGACAACAAAATGAGGCTCTGCTTTAAGAAACAATGGAATCAAATTTCTGCTAAACGGCACCCTAAAGCCGGAAATTATAAAAGTATTCTCAGGGCCTACACTGGCAGTGGAAATTTTTGTCAAGCCGACCCTGGCTGTGGCCATCACAATACCAAGCACTTTGCTTAACCCTGGCTCTGACAGATTGGGTAACTTTCAGAATGAGATTAGCACTCACTCCTATCAACCACTTAGGTGGAGGCTGTCCTGTCAGAAATCGCCCCAGTCTATTGAATATTACTGCCTCTCTGTGTTAAGTCCCTTTGATGCCTGGGAATGCAGACACTTTAACCTTTTGTAATAAATGTAACTTTCAGGAGGTGTCCACTTTGATCTTAAGCACTGCATTTGCCTCCCTAATAACAAAAGACCAGCTACTGAAGCACTCTGAGCAGCAGCGTATCAGCGATTCCATTATCGCAGCAGTCACCGGGATGTGCTCATAAACAGATGCGCTGTAGGCTAAAACTTGCTTCTCTAGATGTGAGGCTTTAAGATACACAGGATGAATGCTGGCTATCTATCTATCTATCAGAGGCTTTCATGTTTCAAGGGGTTGTGGGGATGTGCAGCTTTCTGGGGGAAGATGGGGACAGGAAGCTGGAAAGATGGGCAGAAAGGAACTTAAGAGGAATATAGAAATCCTTTGTAAGCCGCGAGATCTGTCACACCATCTACATGCAAAAATTACCTTCCTGTAGCAAGTCTATCAGAAGTTCTAAAGTGATAGAACTTATATTTCCTCGTTTAATGTGCCTTTATGTGAGTTGTTTGTGCTGTTAACTGGCACTGTGTTTTTCAACTTGAAAATTTTCATTTAATAAATAGGACATGATCAGTATTTAATTATTAAGAAACAGATTACAACATAATGAAATCTATACACCTAAAGAAGATAAACAAGAGAGCAGACACGGGGTAAGATGATCAATCCTCACTTAGAAAGACAAATGGGATGTGCATTGGACGTATGACAGGAGTCTACCACAGAAGGCATCTGAAAGACTCTACCTAGCAGTGTTTCAAAACAGATACTAAGACTCATAACCAAACGTTCGGCAGAAGGGGAGTTAGTATGAGGTGGAAAGGATAGGAGTTTCACAAGGACCAAATATATCTGGACACAGGGGTCTTTTCTGAGAGTGACACTCCACGGAGCACCATGTATGGATACAACCTAGAACCTTTACTTGGATGAAGCCCGTGGTAGCTCAGTAACCAATTGGTTTCCCATAGTAAGAGGAACAGGGACCATTTTTAACAGGGACTCAATGGCAGGCTCTTTGACCTCCCCACCCAACAAGGGAGGACCAATCCTGCTAGGCCACAGAGGAGGACTTTGCAGCCAGTCCTGAAGATACCTGATAAAACAGGGTCAGATGAAAGGGGAGGAGGTCCTCCCCAATCAGTGGACTTGGAAAGGGGCAGAGAGGAGATGAGGGAGGGTAGGATTGGGAGGGAATAAGGGAGCAGGATACAGTTGGGATACAGAGTTAATAAAATGTAACTAATAATAAAAAAATTTAAATTAAATTTACAAAAAGGAAACAGATTACACTGAATTAAAATTTCAGGACATTCTTATACCAGTATAAAAGAATGTGTTATCTCTCAAACATTTCAGTTTCAGTTAAAATGCATGTATGAGCCCAGGGTATGGCCTAAATAACATTTCTTAAAATAAGCTACAAGACCCAAAGAAGTCAAGATGCTCAAACTTCCTAAATCAGGGAATGTGATCTTCAGTAATCTCAACAGGAAAAAAAAAAAAAAATGATGCTTGATGCTTCATTTGGGATACCAAGAAAATGTCTTCTTACATTAAAAAAAAAAAATGATTGTTAAAAAAAATGTTCCAAAAGATTAAATGCAATGCTTATGGTTCCAGTTGCCATAGCTTAACCATAATTTGAATGGGTTTGATTGCACTGAGCTGGACTGGACTGGACTGGACTGGGCTGAGCTGGGCTGGGCTGGGCTGGATAAGATTGGATGCATCCCAGGAACACTTTGGACTTTGATTAAGGAACACACCCATCTTGGCTCTTTCTATGTAATGGAATGGAATGCTTTTAGAGGATTCTTGTTATCTGTGGCTTTTCAGGCTCCTCATTCCTGGTTCATCTTGAATGCAGAGCACTTAGGAAACTAATCTTTTTCTGTGACAAAACGTAATATGCCCCTATTGCCTTTAGTGACAAAGGGGAAGTTGTTCATTTACTATCTGCCCACTAACTTCTTCAACCTTATGTTAGCATCTAAACATTTAGAAAGAGCCAGAAGAAATTGTCGCGTCCCACTTCCTTGTCAATTCAAGCAATA